TGTCCAGTTTCAAGGAGTTTCGGCAGCTTGTCGAACACCTTCTTCAGATTGTAGCTGGGTCTGATCGGTGCCAAAGGTGCTCGATCATGGCTTTCAAAGGTCTCTTCCTCGTAGCCAGGTTCTGCTGCTTCTCCTTCTTCTGGATGTCCAGGACGTTCTCGAACTTCAGGAAGTAGTGCTGCGTCGTCTTGGCGTGCAGGTAGTTCAGGTTGAGGTGGTTTCGTTCGAGGTCGGTGTGATGGTGTTGATGGTGCTGGCTGTCCACCTTGTTCAGCTCCAAAGATTGTGATCATCCAGTCGTCAACGTCGAAACTCTCGTTGATCTGGGAGATGGACATCTCACGGGTGTCTTCCAGTTGCTGGATCGTCCACTCCTTGATATGTCCACAAATGTGGAGTCGAAGGTATGCAGATGCCTTCGCAAGCTGTGGTTCAGGTCCAGACTTTCGAAATGGTCGAAGTGAGATCCGAACACCCTTCACCAGCATGAAGTCAGAAAAGATCTCCTTGAACAATTCCATAAAGACCGCATTCTCGACCCAGAGCTCGTAGTCGATCTTGCGGTTGGCAGCTTCTGAGATGAGGCCAAGTGATGTGTGAATCACTTCCATGAGCAGCTTCTTCAACTAGTGGGACTTGTTCACGGAGAGGTCAATGCCAGAGAGGTTCTTGATCTCCACAACCTCCAGAACATCTCTGTCGGCATTGTCTTTCCATTGTTTGACTGGATCAGCTGGTGCAGAGTTGTCCTTCTTTGATTTTGGGTTTGTGCCGGCTGCGTATCGGCCATGTCTGCACTTGCCTGGGATCAAGGTGTGCTGGATGCCATCTGGGCAGAAGCGCCCAAGTTGGCAGCGAGTGCATTCGTAGAAGTGTTCTGCCACATACCAGCTCAGAGCTTGAGGCCAGGCTTTGATGTGCAAGAGTTTTCGCTTGTAGAGGAAGTTCACAATGTCTTGTCGAAGTCGATGACACATTGTCCTGGGGTACACCGCAGCTTTGGCTGTGCGGTTAAGGCCATCTGCTCCTTGTCCTTGAAGGTGAGCATGAGGAGTCCCCTTGTGGCCAGAACAGCGAAGTGCTGTCTTCGACATCTTGAAGTTTGCCCCAAGACCTGTGGCTTTCTGCACTGGATAGCCTTCACATTCTGCTCCATGCATACATTGGTCAGCTCTCTGCTTCTTCTTGTTGTCGATGTTGATGGTCAGGTCGAGTGGTGTCTCGGGTTGCCATAGTGCACTGCCCCAAGGTTGTTCAACCACATAGCCTCGACCATGTTTCGACTGAACATGACAAGTCTCTTCAGACCAGTCCAAAGAAGGTTTCTGCTGAAGACGTTCGGCTTGTCGTTGATCTGGATCTTTCGAAGAAGAAGATACTGACCAAGGGCCACATTCTGGTGCAAGGTGTATGACACCAGGGCAAAATTCATCTCGAGCTTGTCGAAGATACTTCTGATGGCAGGCATTTCCAACATCCCAGCCGTAGCGCATGTCAATGGGAAAGCCAACAGTGAGACCTGCCACGAGCATGGTCAAGCTCAAGCGTCCAGAGCCGCTAAAGACTTCCCAGAAATGCCATCGAAGTTTCTTGCCCTTCGCATGCATGAACCACTTGGTAAAGTTCTTCGGCGTCACAGGTTTGAGGCCTGTGCGCGTGTAGTACTCCTCAGGCATGGCCTTGTACTTTTTCCGAAGACGTGCATCATCAAAACCTTCGGGAAAAGTGTCTCCCGTATAGGGAGGAAAATCTTCCTCAGTGTGGAAGTGAGGGATGTCGTCATCCTTGGTGTCATTGGTGAAACCGCAGGGCTTTTCATCAGTGCAAACTGTACGCAAGGTGTCGTCATGAAAAATGATGTTGTCGTCAAAAGAAATGGTTTTGCCACTGGCCTCAGAGGTCAAGTTGGCAGTGAATTCCGTATCAAAAATGTTGCCAGAGGCTTCGCTCTTGGTGTGAAACTTGCTGTCGTCGGCTGGTGTTTGATGGGGCAAAATGCCAGTCACAGCCTTGATCTTGTTGTCCATATGCGGCAAAGTGCCGGCTTCATCATCACCATCGTTCTTGTTGCCAGGGTTCTTCACGTTCTTGTCCAGGATGTCGGCATTGGCATCGGAAGCGTCATGTGATACTTCAGGGGATAGTTGTGCTCCATGTTGTTGTCCAGAAAGTTGATGATCATCATGACATAGTGCTCCATCATCGTCATTGATCTTCGCTTCACCCCGGTCACCTTCTGCGTGTGATGTCGCATCAGATGACGTGTGGAAGATGTGAAGCCTTTTGGGATTGACATCCTTCCATCTCTGGCAGCTTTCGGCAGCTACTTTGTTCCAGAAGACTGCAACCTCCTTCTGGGTCTCTTGCGATACCTTGGCTGTCGCATCATGGTCAGTCGGCAAGATGTAGTGGCCTGAGTCCGTGAGAAGGATTCGCAGCATCTTCAAGGATCCAGTGTCATCGGACCTTGAATCCAAAACCAACAGGCCATCACCATTGTTGAAGTAGTTGGTGAAGATGGTGCTGTTCATCTTCCGCAAGGATGGGTTGCCGACCAAGGCTGGGCACATGCTACCATCACCTCCAATGACCTCGCCTGTGAACGTGATTGGGCAGCCACCAGTCACCAGGGGAATTGTTACCTGGCCAAGGGTTCTGTCTGAACCTCCGCTGATGCCGCTCACAGGGGAGGTGATGCTTTTGTCGATGGAGATCTCCTTGCCGTAGGGCTGTATGCAGTGCTCCAAGAGGTCCTTCAGGGTGTCACAGCCAATCAAGCCAGAGGCCGCACCAGGGTCTATGATTAGACCTCTCCTTTTCTCCCCTCGAACAGCAAAGTATTCAGCTGACTCATAGAAGTTGAAAGCAAAGCTGAATGCGCTGAGGTGCTTCTTTTCGCTCTGCGGAATGGCTTGATGTTGTTCTTCACCAGAGTCTGTATTGGCTGTGGTGATCCTCACAAACTTGTGACCTTCTGGGTCGTTTGGCGGTGTGTGGATCGCGAACTCCTGAGCACTTGTCGGTGTCGTTGAAGTCCTTGTGGATCCATCGGGGATGCCGTCCATGATGTTGAGACCAGGTCGCACTGATGGATGTGCAAACCAATGTCGTTTGCCAAAACTTTTGCCTCCTCCAAACTTGCCTCGGCCAAAGTGGCCTTTTCCTTTGCCCTTGCCTTTTCTGAAGGGTCTCCATCGCCAAAACTTGCCCTTGCCTTTTCCAAAACTGGGCTTTCCTTTTCCTTTGCCATAGCTTTTGCCAAAGTTGGATCCCTTGCCAGAGCCCTTGCTGTTGTTGGACATTGGACAATCTCTGGCACGATGCCATTTGGAACCGCAGACAAAGCAGCCATCATTGCTTTGGCCTTTTCCACCGTAGTACTCCTCAGCTGGAGCGTCATTGGCTTTGTCTGTGGTCTTCTCGGGATCTCCTGAGCTGGTTGTCGTTGGTTCTTCTTCCAGGCCGTTCCAATGCTCCTCATCCCAGTACTGCTGGTAGTAGGCATCGGCTGTCTCGTCATAGTCCAGGACCCATTCGCCCTCGTCATAGTACGGGTCATAGTCGGCCCACCAGGAATGCTCATAGTCGTCGTGGTCGTAGAGCTCCTCATCCATCCATTCGCCATAGTTGTCCGCGTCGGCATACTCCTGGTGGTAGTCCTGGGCATAGTAGTTGTCCATGTTGTCATTGTCCTGCTTGTTGGAGGACAGCCGCAATGCCAGTGCTCGGGCTTCTGCAAACCTCGTGAAGTCACCGGCAACCTGGAGCTTGATGTCATCCACCTGCTTCGCTGAGAGGCCGCTGTGCTTGAAGAACAAGAAGAATCGAGCCACCTCGTTCATCTGAAGTCCTGCACGATCTGATGCCTCGTCGAAGCGGGCGTCAAACTCCACGCTGTACTCCTGCAGCGACAAGCGTCCCCTGGCGAGTCCAAAGAACTTCTCCAGGGACTGGGTTGCAAGGTCTTGGTCCTGTTGGCCAAAAGCCATCCGAAGTGCCGCTGTCAAGTGCTGCACGCCGCTCGGCACATGAGCCTGTATGACCATCCCCGTATTGGGGTCTCTCACTTCATCCACCTCCAGTCTCACCAGAGCAGCGTCTCCTGTGTCATGTCCTCCATCTGGACGTGGTATCCGGAGTCCCATAGCGACTCGGTGGGCTCTTCCATAGAGCCTGCCAGCGATGGTAGGTCCAATGGCCTCGTCGGGGAGATTCGCTATGCGATACCACAATCTCAACCTGTCGAAGTATGAACGAAGTGGATACGCCGGGTCATTTGGCTGCCACCCCGGCGGTATCTCACGTCGATACTCTTGGAGTGGTATCGACCCCGATCCTGTTGGGGCCTCATTCATGGTGTCCAGGATGTAGGCTCCACGTCGTGCTCCGCCGTCAGAGGCTTCGCAGTAGAGCAAGAGGACCAGCACTGATTGCAGCACCAAGGAAGTTGTTGTAGGCAATGTTCGCCACCGCATGCACTGATTGCGAGATCGCCAAAGCGCAGCGCAGCAGCTTGAGGACCCAGTTCACCAGCTTTGATTGCCAAGGATGCCAAAGACTTCCTCAGAAAGGTTGGGCTCCTTCACCAAATAGCGCCCCTGGTAGTAGAGCTCCTTCTCCACCAGAGCCACCAGCCACGCTCACGTGGCAGCCTGAAGAACAGGCAGCAGCCAACGAGCGAGGGCCTATAGCGACCCTGGTAGGGAGCCTCCGCAGAGGCTCCGCTACCAAACTCGGTTTGATATGCTCAAAGGCGCCCTGCGGAATCTCGGTCTGGCGACGTGTGACACCTGTATGAAATGACATGCCAATGGACCAGAAACTTCACTGAATAGATCCAATACTGTACATACATGGGTACACGGTATACTAGGTCAGGGTGGGTAATTATATAATTACCATCAATAAACAAATCAAATCATAATATAACCATAAGGTTCATAACTATAAGGCGATTGGATGAATTTTCAGCGGCTAACAGCAGCTTGTCATATCCCCAGGAGCCAGTGCTGGTCTTCTACGCTCCCCGGGCCATCTCTGCCGGTGACCCGGTTCCGCTGTGCCATGGGGGCCTGGCAGGTGGTAGTGGGCGCCTGTTGCTGCAGCGCGGTCGCGTCTGGCCTGGCAACCCCTGGGAGTTTGTGGAATTTGTCCGGGGCCTTGGCAAATCAGAGATGTTTCTGACAGTTTTTTTTTTACATTTTTTAAAACATGTTTTCCAGAGATGTTCCATTTTTTTGAGATTGATGTTGCAGTGCGTGGTTCTTACTGAGGCTTACTGTATCTTGATGTGAGTTGGTGATGGATAATCACTTTTTTTTCAGGCCATGACCCTTCCAGTTCCGCACGACAAGATGGAAGAAGTGTCGCAAAAGGCAGCTTCAGTAGCAGAGTTTGCCATGCTAGCGAGTTCTTCATTTTCACTTGCGAAACGGGTATAGCACATTATAGCACCAGACTCGAGCAAAATCGATTTGTGATGCAGTGAACATGGAGTTTCACGCCTTTTCGGGGGCTTGAACTCCTGTAGCTCCCAACACTTTTTGTCACCCGGCAGGTATCTGCCCTGGCGTTGCCTCCCCCAGCCGCGGGGCAGTTCTTGGTGCCCGAGTTGCTGGAGGGGTGGGAGCCAGCACAAGTGGAAGGGCAGGAACTCCAGCTGAACATCAGGCGGGAAACGACCTGGATGGGGAATTTTAGAAGGTTTCATCATCGATGAGCCGCGGTTTCATCATCCATGATCCGCGGCCGCGGGACCACATGCGTTTCTGCTGTCCTTTGAAAGCTCAGTTTGTTTTCTTGGCACACATTTTTTGCAAGTCGGGCATTCTCAGTTGAGTGAAAGCCAGTCCCGTAGGGTGTCGGCACGGAAGCCCTTGCCACAGCAGATGGAACTTTTGGAGGCTGGGCCTCGTGCCACAACTGTATGTACATGATGTACATACCTGCAAGTAAATAAGTAAAACTATGAAGCGAAAAAACAATTAACACATTGAGGAAGTAAAGTAATAGATGTAATTCTATCCACACACACACATATATATATATAATATATTCTATAATTATAGTTATATATATAGATAGTATTATGCCGAAACCTATTTGATTCCAGAGAGAGAGAGAGAGAGAGAGAGCGAGCACACATTGTACTATTTTTAGCTCCCTGCCCAGTTGATCCTCGGAGATGCCGTGAAAGCTCGGCAAGTGCCTCTTGGCCCCTAACCATTTGGTAGATGGATTGAAGCAGTACAATGTTTGGATTTGGGATGTGGCAAAAACTTCTAAGGGTCAGCGATGTCAGTGCATTTGATGTCAAGTGTCTTGTTTTATAGTATAGTCGTGTCGTGCTTACCATAATCGGTGGAGAGAAGCAGTGCAGCAAGATTCAGGTTGCGACATGGCCTCCTCTCCCTGCAGAAAGGGTATCAGAGTTCTTCTGGATATCCCGCAGTGGCTGGGCAGGACAAGTGGTGCAGCTACAGCAGACTTGGAGATGGAACCTTGGGATTGACTGGAATCAAAAGAGATGGGGCGCCTTCAAGTTTGATTCAATTGTGAGCCAAGGCAGGGCCGGAGACTGCGAATCCCCGGCATGAAGCAGCCAGAAGCTTGCTGGAGGAGGACCGCAGGCATCCGCAACTCTACACACCGTACCGATCTGTACAGTGAGTCGACTGCTAGAGGCCCCCGCTGAGCCAGGAGAAGCGTTTGGTGGCTCTGGGTTTAGCGAGCCTTGAGGCCAAAGCCCAGGAGGCGCATGGGGGGGTGGGAGAAGATGTGCAAGTGGCCAGGTGGTTCACGCTTTAGCCTGTGCCTCACGTATTTTGGTGTCTCTCTGTGCCTCATGTATTTTGGTGTCTCTTGATGTGTCCAAGATTTATCCAGATGAACATTATTACATCCCCAGGTCAAATTATCCTGTTTGTTTGGAGGACATGGCCCCACATTCCGCATATTTCCAGGCTGCATGTCTTACCCACCGCAGGCAGCGGAAGAGGTCGACTTTGATGAATCGGCCCTGCTGCGGATGCAGGGCTGCACGGTGACGCTGCAAGAGATTGCTGCCTCTTTTGCCTCCTTGAAAGCGGGTGAGGCCGAGGCAAGCCTTTGGATGTTTCTGTGACCTGATGACAGGTATGATGGGCTGGTGTTCTTGTTGCGTTGACCATCAAAGACCTTTTTCGCTTCGTATCTTTGACCCATTCTCCAGTTTCTTGCCGTTCCAGTTTTTTTTTCACCTTCTCATTCTCATGATGATCATGATGCCATGGAAATCCGGGGAACATGTGTAGAAAACCATGATTTCTCCCACTTTCCAATGGTGATCTCAGATGGTTTCCTCAGGCCAGGATGAAACTGGCGGAGCTCCAGGTGGTCCGTGCATGTTTAGCAGGCGCTTGGGCAATGGCAAACCGGTGAGCGGCAGCACTTGTGGGCCAGATTTTTTTCAGAAAAACTAGTTGTATGATGTGATAAATTGATATAAATTGCATACTGTAGGAATTTTGTAGGATATTATTGGAATTTATTTGGGACTGGTTGAGGGTTGGATGGTCAGCCGGTCAGCCCAGAATCCAACGTCTTACGCCCAAGGTCTCCCTGACGGGAACCCCGAGGCCGTGCACACGGTGCCCTTGGTGCAGACCAAGGATCCAGTACTAAGAGCCCATGGTGAGGCCACTGGACAGTGACTAGATGACCAAAAGATTTCCAAAAGATGACCAAAAGAATCTAAAATCAATCAATGAATCAATCCGAGTTATCCATGAATGTATGAGTTATAGATAGTTATAGAATTATACCCGCAAAGCCTGTCTCGCCGTCCCGAAAATTGTCACATGTCACTTTCGAAATTTGCATTTGGTGCAGGCGAAACGCGTTTTTTTTCCCCATGTTCACTCCGAACAAAGTGCATTTTAACCTGCGGCCACCAATGAATTTGAGCACGTGCATCCTGCGTGGCAGGCGCCGTGTTTTGCGATGGTTGTAAAAATATCATTTTCATTTTCGCTGGCAGGCGCGCGGGATTTTTGCGTTTGTTGATGTCTCGAAAGTGTGAGATTTTATCTTGTTTTTTGTGGTTTATATCCTTGTTTCTCTTTCAATGGAAGGTTAATCTTTCTTTGCAATTGTTTCAAATCTGTTATGCTCCCTTTTTTTTGGGGGGGTTCCGGGGGGGGGCGAAAATAACGTTCTCATCGCGCTATCATGTTACGCTTTGAAACTTCCTGTGAGAATTTTCATAACTTATCATGTAACTTTCACTTTTTATTTCAACTTGAACTTTGGGGGGTGGGGTGGGCGGTGGGGTGGGGCGATAGTAACTTTCTCACCTCACCTATCATGTTGCGCTTTTAAGCTTACGGTGATCATTTTCACTACTAAAATCTCTTGTCAGCCACTTTTCATGTTACGCCCTTAGCATTCTTGATGGTACGCTGTTGACTTTCTAATGTTTATGTTAACACGCTGTCGATGGTACGCTGTTGGCTTTCTTAAATGTTTATGTTAACACGCTCTTGGCTGCATCAAGCAAACGATGCGTCGCCAGAAGTCCCTTGGACGCAAGACATGCAAAAAACCTGAAAAATGTTCAGGTCCTTGCTTCCACTGCGCTGGACAGCCAGGTCTCCAACAAATTTTGGATTCGATTCTATAAAAGGAATGCGCCACTGGTCAGAGTGTCACCGACGCCTTCAAAGCTGCACGCCTTGGCTCCAGTAAGGTGACGGACAAGTTTCCTGTGTTCCTGTGGAACAACTTTTTGAAAAAAAACAAGGGTGAAGATTCAAAACTGAACAAAAACCCGCAGTTTTTAGCTGTTTCGGGCGCTGGAGAGACATGGGGTTTGTGCGTAATTGTATAATGTTATATACATACATACATATACATATATATATATGGGTGCAAATATTCATTTTTAATATGTGAGACACATATAAAAAAATAAAATTATATCCATATGGATCACTCTCTTCATTTTCCTTTGCGACGCAGCGGAAAACTCGACCGTTTTTCGGGAGGCAACCAGAGCTGTGCTGGAGTCACGCTTGGCCGCATGTGAATGGGCCACTTTGCAAATTTTTGAGCTTTTTGCGTTCAAAATGAGAATAGAACATCAGTAAATATATGTAATTACGGTGATACACATAATGATATACATATACATATATACACACATACACACACACATATATATATATATATGGCATATGGTGATTTAATTGCGGATGGACCTGAAGAAATGGTACGTCTGGTAATCGTGTCTCAAGTGGGAAAGTGCATGAAAGTGCCAGAATGAGACACATTTTGAATCTAGAAACATGTATACGGGAAGTTGATGTAAGCCAGTGGTGGCTCCGTCCCTTTGGTCTCAGGAGATTGCCACCCTTGATGGAAGCCAAGCTGCGCTGCAAGCAGGTACTTAGCGGAGGTCATTAGATCTTTTGGGTGAGTACTCGGAGCATTCCAACTTGCAATTCAGCAACTTCAAAGTTAGATGTTGCAGTGTGCCGGAGATGAATAAGTCCTACTGCTTCGTTGCTTTAACGATTTTCATTGGCCTTCGCAATGATCTCGCCGCCAGAGGTGTGATGGGAGAAGCCGCTGCACTTCAGGTAAAGATGCTGAAATTTCAAGACGCCTATGAGAAGCTTGCCATGAGTCACTCAGCCTATCTCAGCCTCCTAAACTCTTCTGGGCGGCTCTCAATGCGGCAGTAAATCAAGTGCTTGGCTGGGGTACTTGGTCATTGCGTTATATTGCGTTAAGTCGTCCGGGCTCGTCTAAAGTTGTCCGGAAATCGTGTGCCCGCTGTGTTTTGGATGTTTCCTGTACGACTTTTATTTTACAAGTTGTTGGGCCCCATGCATTTGCGGATGACTTCCCGGGCTTGAGCTGTGCCCATGGGGATGTTTGACTTTAGACGGGTATGCTTGACTTAACACCCCGACCCAGTACCACTGATGATCTTGTGGTGTTTGCGGCAATCAACTCCAGCTCCGATCCTGGAGCCTACTAGATGCAACCAACTTTGGAGCTATGGATATTCACAATTTCGTCAAGCAGCCAACTTTTGGGAACATGTTGCATACAATTCCGGTCACATTCTGTGGTGGTGGTTGTCAGCAAGCTATGTCCATACTTACAATCTAACCTGGCAATGAGAGTTCCCCAGTTCGAGAGGTTTTTCCATTGTTTCCCCCTTGAACCTGCTGATTTTGCATTGCCATATCTGTCGAACAGAGGGTATGCCAGCCACGACTCAGGTTTGCAGCTGATGCCTTCCGATGTGGCGCGGAGATTGAAGTTGGACTGCGCCGTGGCGTTGGCGTGCAGACGTCAGCTCTGCCGGAAGCTTAGCATTCGAGGGTTTTGACATGGCCTCACCAGGAGTTAGGGAATGTTAGGGCAAATTTGTTTGATTAATTCTGATTATATATATATATATATATGTGCGCGCACACAATCACACAATCACACAATCACACAATCACACAATCACACAATCACACACTCACACACACACACACGCATCTAATACGTATAGATATGATAGATAGTGATCATAGATGATCACAGTGACGACGATGGTGATGCTGATTTTTGCCTTTATCACTTTTTTTGTTATTTCAATCTATTTGACAATGCTGAATAGTATTGTTATTAGTTTCGATGACCATGTTCAGCATCATTCTGGTTGCTATACATGATTGATTGGCATCATTGTTGCCATCCTCATGAACATCACGGCTTGAATTTGATATAATTTGAATTAATTTGATGTTTCTGATTTGGTCATTTTATGTCCAGCACTTTCAGGCTGTGATGACATCTCCTGGTCAGATGTGTCCAAAGTCACTGGGGCTACCGGTGGAATCTGTGGGACATGGGTGTGGAAATCTGCGATCACCTGAATTTCCCAACCGAAATCAGGCTCATCCCACCTGGAGAATTTGCACACATGGATAGTATGGGCATTGTATGGGCATTGTATGGGCCATGTTTCGTGATTCTGGCGTTAGCAACTGTCCACCACCGGTGCGTCAAGCTGCAACCCCGAGAGACGCTGAAGGAAGGGCAACTGCTGAAGAAACGTTTGAAGTCCCTGGGCTACACTGCGAGCCACTTGCCGCAGGTGCGGAGACTTGATCGGGGCACCAAAAAGATCCAACAAGATTCGCGTCGGCAGTTCTGCAGTGATTTTGGACCCTTGAAAAACTAAAGGACGAAAAAGGAACGAAAGAAGGAACGAAAGAAGGAAAGCAGCTGCCGTCCTCCAGGCTGCAGGTGTGCCTTCGGTGCTGCACCTGGTCTCCAACCGAGCAGGGGCCCTTGAGCAGAAACTGCAGGCGGACTCTGCCAACGGGCCTCATGTCTTTCTATTCCTGCTACTGTATGCCATGTCCTTTCATGTCCTTTCTGTTTGAAATCTATCTGGCACCAGTCACATGAAACTAGATGGACCATACATTTCCATACATTTCCTGCATTTTTCAACATTTGGTTTCCTCCTGCTTTCTGGCAGGAACAGAGCTCCAGCCCTGACTTGAAGGATCTCCTTCGCCTCTTCTTGCTGCGGCAGCCGTTGCCATCGCAGAGGGTTGTGGATTTGCTGAGTCGCAGCGTGGTGGCTCTGCTGTTGCGGATCCAGGCGCTCTTTGCAGTTGCGGATGGCCATCAATTGATGTCCCACCAGGACGTCACGGCCATGGATCTGACAGATCTGACAGCTGAGAACGTTGAGATCTTTTCCGCCGTGGCCTGGTGGCCGGTGGAAGATCTGTTGATTGCCACGGATTATGGGGACACGCAGCATGCTGCGGGGCACTTTGAGCCAGTGATGCGCCTCAGAGCGGAAGGAACAGCTGGGATCTGTTTTGATTGACATGCCGTTCTGGTGGAACGTGAGCTACCATTTATATCTTTGCCTGGCTGAGCCACATTGAATAATAATTGAACTATATTGCTTTTTGCCATCTTCAATTCGCCACCGCATTTGAACCAAGGGCCAAGGAACCAAACGAACTGTAGTTTGCGAAGAGCTGGGGCTCTTTGTGGCTAATTCTGCGAAACCATGGCAGCCATACAGCAACGTGTAGCAACATTGTGACAATTTCCACCTGGCTGCTGTGCTCCCAGGTATTTGTCCTTGGATTCCTATGCCTTGATCGATGCAGCTCCCAGGCGTTCAGCGGAGAGTGTGTTGGACATTTGCTGCGGGAGCGGTGTGCAGGGACTTGTGGCATTGCACTATGCAGCCAAGGCGAGGCGAGTCTGCAAATAGGGAAGTGTGTGAACAACATGATGAAGTATGACGAGACTGTATTTTTGTTGGCTAGACAAAGGAATAACATGAATAACATATTATATACACTAAGTTAAACAAACATAGACCTCGAAACTGAGAAAATCAATTTCGGGGTCTATGTTTATTTTCCAAAAACGACTGTTGCAAGAGCAAAAAACAGAACAATTTCCCTCACTAACATAGACTTTGGACATAGAGCAAAAAAACAGAACAATCTGCCCTCTATGTCCAAGGTCTATGTTAGTGCGCGAAAGTGTTATTGTTTTACACCTGTATATTTTACCTGAATACATAGACCTCAGAATCACTCTGCTTCCAAGGTCTATGTTATGGCCCAAAACAATAGTCAGCGAAAATATTTTTTGATCTTGCAACTGTTGTTTTTTACAAATAAATGTAGACCTCGGTTTGTAATTGTTCCTCACCGGGGTCTTTGTTTATTTTAACTGAGCTGGAGATAGTGTACCTTTGTACATAGACGTCCCAAATGGAGGTAAGACATGTAAAACATGAGTACATAGACGTCCCACCTGGAGGTAAGACATGTAAAGCATGATGGTGGTAAGAACAGTTGCGTTGCCACCAATTTGTGGTTCAAAGCTCCAATTTAACGAAACTGAGACCTCGAAACTGAGAAACTCCAGATTTAGGCATCTGGTGCTATTTGTAGCCCCTTCCGTGATGACCAATTGTCATACCTCAGAACTCCCCTTAACATAGACCCTGCACCAGCACTGAGCTATTTTGTTTTTAGTAAAGTATATACAAGAAAATCGGGGTCCTTGTCATACCTCTAAACTCCCCTTAACATAGACCCTGTACTAGCACTGTGATATTTTGGTTTAAAGAAAGTATATACAAGAAAATCGGGGTACCCCGGAAAAAAGAAACAAAACACAACCTTTTTTCTTGTGCAAAAGTTCCCTTATAGAATTGTTGATCTGTAACATTTTTGGCTCTGAGAAGGGGGGACCCCACAAGAGGGCAGACAACACTGACCCTTCTGCATTTTGGACTCTGTATAGTTTTTTGCGTTATCGATAGCTGTTGCTTGGTTATACCAATATCGGAAAGGTTCAAATATCATGGAAAACACCTCTTGCTCTCCTCACCACATTGTCAAACATAGACTCTCACCTGCCTCCATGTCATGTCTCTGAATGCGTTGGCTTTGTGTTTGTGAACTTATATATTCTACAGTGATTAATTAACATACCACCCCCTCATCATGCTTTACATGTCTTACCTTCATTTGGGACGTCTATGTACTCACGTTTTACATGTCTTACCTCCATTTGGGACGTCTATGTACAAAGGTACACTATCTCCAGCTCAGTTAAATAAACAAAGACCCCAGTGAGGAACAATTACAAACCGAGGTCTTCGTTTATTTGTAAAAAACGACAGTTGCAAGATAAAAAAATAACACTTTCGCTAACTAAGATATTTTTTGGACATAACATAGACCTTGGAAGCAGAGTGACTATCAGTATGTGTACAAAGGCAAATTGTACACTTGCAAAACAAGAACACTTTCGCTCACTAACATAGACCTTGGTCATAGAGAGCGAATTGCTCTCAGATTCACTCGGCCTTAAGCTCTATGTCTATGTCCAAAGTCTATGTTAGTGAGCGAAAGTCTTCTTTTTTTTGCTCTTGCAACAGTCGTTTTTTTTACAAATAACCGTAGACCTCGGTTTCTCGTTTCTCATTTTCGAGGTCTATGTTTAACAAACTCCAGTTTTAGGCATCTGGTGCTATTTGTAGCCCCTTCCGTTATGACCAATTGTCATACCTCTGAACTCCCCTTAACATAGACCCTGCACCAGCACTGAGCTATTTTGTTTTAAATAAAGTATATACAAGAAAATCGGGGTCATTGTCATACCTCTGAACTCCCCTTAACATAGACCCTGTACCAGCACTGTGATATTTTGGTTTAAAGAAAGTATATACAAGAAAAACGGGATATCCCGCAAAAGAACAAAACACAACATTTTTTTTGTGCAAAAGTTCCCTTATAGAATTGTTGATTTGTAACATGTTTGGCTCTGAGGAGGGGGGACCCCACGAGACGGCACAAAACATTGACCCTTCTGCATTTTGGACTCTGCGTAGCTTTTTGGGTTATGGATAGCTATTGCTTCGTCACACCCAATATTGGAATTTTTCAAATATCCTAGTACAACACCTCTTGCTCTCCTCACATTGTCAGACTTGTTGGTCACAATTGAGAAACTCCAGATTTAAAAATGCATCTGGTGCCATTTGTAGCCCCTTCCGTGATGACCAATTGTCATACCTCAGAACTCCCCTTAACATAGACCCTGCACCAGCACTGAGCTATTTTGTTTTTAGTAAAGTATATACAAGAAAATCGGGGTCATTGTCATACCTCTGAACTCCCCTTAACATAGACCCTGCACCAGCACTGAGCTATTTTGTTTTTAGTAAAGTATATACAAGAAAATCGGGGTCATTGTCATACCTCTAAACTCCCCTTAACATAGACCCTGTACCAGCACTGTGATATTTTGGTTCAAATAAAGATAAATAAAGTATATACAAGAAAAACGGGATATCCCGCAAAAGAACAAAACACAACCTTTTTTTTGTGCAAAAGTTCCCTTATAGAATTGTTGATTTGTAACATGTTTGGCTCTGAGGAGGGGGGACCCCACGAGACGGCAGAAAAAATTGACCCTTCTGCATGTTGGACTCTGTGTAGCTTTTTGGGTTATGGATAGCTATTGTTTAGTCACACCCAATATCGGAAATTTTCAAATATCCTGGAAAACACCTCTTGCTCTCTACACATTGCCAAACTTGCTGGTCACAATCTAGACGCAGCGTTTAGGCATCTGGCTGGATTTGTAGCCTTTTCCATTCTGCCCAATTGTCATACCTGTAAACTCCCCTTAACATAGACCCTGTACCAGCACTGTGTTATTTTGTTTTTAGTAAAGTATATACAAGAAAATCGGGGTCATTGCCATACCTCTAAACTCCCCTTAACATAGACCCTGTACCAGCACTGTGATATTTTGGTTCAAATAAAGATAAATAAAGTATATACAAGAAAAACGGGATATCCCGCAAAAGAACAAAACACAACTTTTTTTTTGTGCAAAAGTTCCCTTATAGAATTGTTGATTTGTAACATGTTTGGCTCTGAGAGGGGGGGACCCCACGAGACGGCAGAACACATTGACCATTCTCCATTTTGGACTCTGCGTAGCTTTTTGGTTATGGATAGCTATTGTTTAGTCACACCCAATATTGGAATTTTTCAAATATCCTAGTACAACACCTCTTGCTCTCCTCACATTGTCAGACTTGTTGGTCACAATCTAGACGCAGAGTTTAGGCATCTGGTGCTATTTGTAGCCCCTTCCGTGATGACCAATTGTCATACCTCAGAACTCCCCTTAACATAGACCCTGCACCAGCACTGAGCTATTTTGTTTTTAGTAAAGTATATACAAGAAAATCGGGGTCATTGTCATACCTTGAACTCCCCTTAACATAGACCCTGCACCAGCACTGAGCTGTTTTGTTTTAAATAAAGTATATACAAGAAAATCGGGGTCATTGTCATACCTCTGAACTCCCCTTAACATAGACCCTGTACCAGCACTGTGATATTTTGGTTTAAATAAAGTATATACAAGAAAAACGGGATATCCCGCAAAAGAACAAAACACAACCTTTTTTGTGCAAAAGTTCCCTTATAGAATTGTTGATTTGTAACATGTTTGGCTCTGAGGAGGGGGGACCCCACGAGACGGCAGAAAAAATTGACCCTTCTGCATGTTGGACTCTGTGTAGCTTTTTGGGTTATGGATAGCTATTGTTTAGTCACACCCAATATCGGAAACCATGACATACCATGGAAAACAAATCTCGTTCTCCTCATTTCTTTTTACATTACATCCTTTGAAACATTAGATCAAAAACTCGCGTGTTTGACCACCGAACAGCTGCGAAGATGGTCAGAAATCTTCTACCTTGACATAACCTCTCCCAGAGCACCTGCATAATATGGCGTTAACATAACCCTGGGGGGTTGCAAACACAAAATCCGGTGGATAGATGCACCTACAGAAGCTCTCTCTGTAGGGTTTAACATAAACCCTGTCCAACATTGAAAAAAAATACGAAGTTTTAACGTAGACTTCGACCAAGCATTTGCTCAAAACGGAGGGTTTTCGTTAGTTTTCGTTAGTTTGTGGTGCTCGTTGATTTATAGGGTCTATGTTTAGCCAGTTTTTCATTTTGTCCATTGTATCCCCAGGGTCTGTGTGATCCCCATTGTTGGACTTTCAGGAAACCATTCTCAAAGATATATCGCAACTAATAAACATAGGCGCCAACATGCTGTTTTGGCAAGATGGATCATTTCTTGGACGAGCAACTCAAATAGATCCTTGTACCATTTCAGGGTATATGTTATCCCTACTTGCAATGCTACTGCGCTGACTGATGACTTTTGGAAAAAACAATGTTAGTGGGGTCGGCGGAAAGGTGGGGTCTATGTTATGCAAGTTGTCCATCGTTGCCCATTGTATCCCCAGGGTCTATGTGATCCCCATTTTTGGGTTTGCAGGCACCCATTTTTTTAAACAAGAAAACATAGACCCTGAAATGGTGTGTTGGGAATTTCTTGGACTGGGAGTAATAAGCCTCTCAAATAGATCCTTATACCATTCCAGGGTCTGTGCTATCCCTACTTGCAATGCTACTGCAGGGGTATGTTGAGTTTTTGTAAAAACCCATCTTAGTGGGGTAAAACATGGTGAATTTAGAATGCAACTTGTGGGGTCTATGTTATGGCAATTTTCCATTGTTGTCATTGTGTCCCCAGGGTCTATGTGATCCACATTTTTGGACTTGCAGCTTGTTTTTTTAATGTTTTTACAAGATAAGATAGACCCCGGATCAGCGGACATGCTCACCAGGGTCTATGTTTAAATTCCGTTTTGGTGCATACAGGGTCTATGTTTGTTTAACTTAGAGTATATATATATATATAACATGCACACACACATATATATACATACACATATTATAGGTTCACATATTAACATGACCATACACACATACACTCACCACCATGCCCTCCCCTTCCAGCGGCTTACGTCAGGCCACCTTCCTAGATGTGAACCCGCGAGCGATCAGCTTCAGCCGCTTCAATGCTGGGTTGAATGGCCTCCACCAGCGATGTACTTTCCTGGAGGGCAGTGTCTTTGATGCTAAGCAGCTGCAGGGACAATCCTTCCAGGCCGCGGCACCCAGGCCTTCAATGTCCTAACAGGTTCTAAGCTTGGGGCAAATATTGTTTTCTCACCCAACAGCGTTTGATTAGGGGGCGGGTTCTGGGCTGGTTCCGGAGGTTCCGGTGTGGGCTTTTGAGAGGACACTTTCCTAATCTTTCCTACCACGTTTGCTGTTGGGGAGACCTGGGCTTATTCCCAGTGGTAATGTTGTCTGTAATTTTTGATTGTCCTGTGCCATCCTGTGCCACAAGGTCATCTTGGCGAATCCACCCTTCGTGCCAAACCCGGATGGAACAGCTTCAGCCGCAGGCATGCCCCAAATCAGGACAGCTGTTCCCCTGACGCCCAGAATCACAAGCTTTGTGGGGTAGGTAGATGATATAAACTTAGTTTTCAACATCCAGCAACATCCAGCAACATCCAGCAACATCCAGCAACTACGTCCTGAAGCGTCACCATTTATAGGTGATTTATCCACATTTGACATCGTATCCCATGAAAATGCCTATAAAAATTATATATAAATTATATATAATTAATCCAGGTAGCATCTTCCAGCAGCCAGCCGCTCCAAGCGTCTTCCGCGGCTCGCAGGGCCACTCTACTCGGGTGGTGGCCAGGATGGTGAGGAGGTGCACAAGGAGCTGGTTCAGAAGGACAGATCCAGCATGAGTTGGGAGAAAAAAACATGCAAGAGCCATCAAAAACCGTGGATAAAGTTTATGGCAACTTGCCGGATCATGGCGGAGAGCTTAATTTTTTGAGATTTCTGAAGAATCATTCAGGTGGAGATGGGGATTCCAGAGTTGATCTAAAATGAGGTTGGTTTGATTTCGTTTGGGCCGCCAATGCTTGTGGTTTTGCAGGGCTTGGGGCTCCTGGCGCCTGGTGGGCGTTTGTGCAGCGTGGCTGAAGTGCCAAATCCCAAGCTTCTGGGACTGGATGGACTGGGAAAGGGAAGGATTTCCTCGCTGAATCCCTGGGATGATGATCCTCAACGACTTATACTGCATGGGATTGGTTTCAGGGCTGTCCTGCAGGAAACCCAGTTTTGGACCATTGACATGGGGTTTCCTATAAATTGGGAGCGTTGTTCCGGGGGGGAACGTGTTGGAAACACCAACCGCTTTCCGTTTGAAGCTGCCACGGCAGGAAGATGACATGAGATCAGATCACATATGCGTTTGCAGAAGTGGAGTAGGAGGGTTGCCACTAACTCATTGGACATTTTCAAGAATGAGCCGTGACGTGTTTCAGGCAGTTTGTGCAACTTTCATCCAAATTCAGCCAAGGACCTTCCCCAACCGCGTAGGGGAATGGATCAACAAGGCTTAGGGATGCCCAGGGAATGCCCGGGATGCCCGGGATGCCTGGGATGCCTGGGATGCCTGGGATGGCCATTGCCAGGTGGACTGCAAGAGAGCTGGAAGTGTGAAGATCTTCACTGGCAAGACCATTGCCTCTGAAGAGTACTGGAAGACCGCTACTGAGGACCTTGAGCCGACTTAGTCCTCCTCATCCAACTGTATTCGTTTTCCTCCATTCTTCACATGTCCTCTCAATGTCGGGGATTAGTTGCTTTGCTAAAAGGTAGCTTGAAATCCCAGGAGCTTGTTGACCCATCCTTTCCACTTGCCGACACATATTTCAGGAGCGTTCTCCCTTGGAATGGCGTCGCTACTTGCGCGGCCTGCGGCGTTTGGGGGTGACCAGTGTGGCAGAAGCTTTGCTGCTGCTGCAGCTTGAAGAGGCTGGAAGATTGCTGCCACATTGTGGTTGGCTTAGCCACACCGTCACCAACAGCTTCTTTGTTCCGAGCCAGGTTGGCTCTGCGCCGTTGAGCATCGAGGCGATTTGCCGCGAGAATTTGTGGCAAGATGTGGAGTATTTGCGCGGCTGCGTGGCACACTCCATTGACTGAACGGCCGGACACGGCTGGACACGTCTGGACGATGCATTCTCCGTTGCTGACTCTGCAGGAGGTGTCAGCTGCCCCAGGTGAATCACCAGGCCCTCGCCGGACATGGCGTACCACGGCGCACCATGATGCACCAGAGGGTGTCGAAGCATCGCTTGGAAGACCTGGCAGATGATGATGTTGGCGAAGCATTGACATCGGTTGAAACCGCGCACAAGTGGAAGACGCAGTGGCAAAATGATTGCTGTAAAATGCTGTAATCTATACTCTATAATACTCATAACATCTCATAACTAAATTGTGTGAAACTGGCAAGCAGTGGTGGCCTTGAATGAAGCAAGGCAGAACAGGAGCAACAGCTGTTGGGCTGCTCCCTTTGCTTCGTTGAACATGGCCCAGGTTGCAGATGGCTTCAGACAGTTCACCTTGGGTTGGATGTCTCGGCTGCAGATGAGGGATTGCGATTACTACAGGATTCACTGGGTCACAATGACGAATATTATTAATATTATATTAAAAAAACATTATAAATAATATAATATGCAACTTTCTCTCTCTCTCTCTCTGTGTCTCTATGAAACTTATACAGGTGAACATCCATTCCACTGTCTGGAAAGATCGGAGAGTTTTTTTTTTGCTACCTGACTTTCAGTACAAGCATGGCAACGCGATTGAGAGAACTGACAAGGTGTCAGTGACACTTCTACTCAGTGCTCAGCTAGCTACGGATACAATGCAGATGGTTGAAAGTTGCACGCAAAACGATTGCAAATTCTGACTGCAACCTCCAGTTTTATTTGAACCTGCTCGCCAAAGGTATGCTCAAAAAACAGACTAGTCACTGCCATGAGTCATGTTCCCTCAAACCACAGCGACTGCAGAAATTCAAGTATTCTGAAATGAGGCAGCCAGAAAGTCCATGATACATCTTGGGATCAGCCTTATCACTTGTCCCAAATGCATCCAAATTCTCCAGACAACGAACCTGCAGATATGCGAGCATGGCTTGGATTTCTGTTTGCCAATGCAATGTAAATTGTACCAAGTTCAGGTACATCATAACCCATTTCACAGGGTTCATTGCCCGACCACTGCCTTGAGTGCGCGGCAGAAGATGTGGAGTAGCGAGAGGTCAGCCTCCAGGCCAAGAAATTGATCATGTTTTGCCAGACAGTTGCTGGCAGCCATTTGGCCTGCAATCTTTGTTCCAAATAGCATATTACATCATATTTACCTACTTTTTTCGTTGCTTTGGTCATCGTATCATTCAAAGTCTCCTTATCAACTGTGTCTTGAGCTTTTGACCAACCGCACTGCGCCTTGCGAGCATGTGTTAGGCGCCTTGAAGACACCTCCCCATACGATGACGACATTGAAGACATGCCCGAATCGCCAAAGCGATATCGGGAGGTCTATGCTGATGACTTCATCACCCAGGACAGGGCAAAATTACTATAAATTAATGAACATGATAAACATTGATTAACATGATAACTTCATATAACTTCATGTTTTACCATGCAGCCTGCACGGCAGGGCGTGGCATGGCTTCAAAAACGTTGGTCTGGTGTAGACGAGGAGAGGGTGTCATCGGCTCGTAGGACTTGCAGGCTCCCCTCAGCACGCTGCCGGTTTCAGCCTCGGGTTCTTTCATGTTCTTCCATAGTTTCAGAATGTTTCACACAGCCCCCTGAAAGACAACTGGTGGCCGGTTCGTACATGCAGGCTTGTAGGTGCGCCCAGTCCGTCCAAGATCAATTTTTTTTGATCGCTGCTGGATCGCCACCTGAGGTGCAAACTGCGAAACTCCTGCTGCAGATCTTTTCCGAGAGCCCCTCAACATTTTACCAAAGCCTGGAGGACTGGAGCAGATCGCTAATGGATTTTAGCGGGCCTTCAATGCCTGAGCTGACAGGATCCCAACCTGGATCTATGCCATGAAATCTCCAGGGAAGAAATGAGAGAAGCTGTTGAGAGACTGCGCCTGGGCTGCTAAGCAGGCTACGTCCACAGTTTTTCTCCGATCGTTGGTAGGTGCGAACATTGAAGAACAGTGGATCAACGCACAGTGCTGGTGGTTGAGGAAAGGAGTTTCTGCAGCAGAGGAAGGGAAGGCGATTTTGGTGACTGGCCTGCATGTTCTGTTTCAGTCTTGGGCATGGCCAAAGAAATGCCAAGAAGTTTTGGCACATAGAACTCCTGACGCCGCAACAAATTTGGCGATCCAAGAGGACTTCTTGACTGCAGTGTGCTTCTGTCTGACATGCAGTGATTGATGGTCTTGTTGTGTCTTGTTCATAGTTGACACACACACACATACATATACACACACACACATATATATATTATAATATATATATATATAATATGTATATATATATATACGTAGCTGAAATTGCAATAACCCCAGTTCCCTGACATAGCAGAAGGACCTCAATACTTGTTGAAGTGGACTCAATGGCAGCATCCTGAGCTGAGGCCAGCTTCTCTGAAGACACCCCGAATTTGACAATCTTTGAAGTTTGCTCGCGAGTGGGTGGCACAGCTGCACATAGCAGCATCACATAGCTATATATTATATACACCTCATATGCTAATGTTTTCAACCCGAGACTGTCCGTGGGCTTGGAAGCCTGACTGGAAGGCTGACTGGAAGGCTGACTGGAAGCCCGACTGGAAGAATATTGGTAATCTGTCACGTAGCTATAGAACATAACTATTTTGAAGTTTTAATAGTCACGTCATTGAACTAAAGAGAGCATCTACAACAGCAATGTTACCACGGAGTAATCGTCAGGCCGTGGAGACTTGCTGCGCGATCTGCAATCTGCAGCTCAAGCGCGGCTATTGTCATTGATCTTGAAGGGTACGGCCACAATGCAGCAGGCGTGGGGAGACAAACGTTAAAGCGATGTAAAGCGCGTAAAGTCCTGTAAATTGTGGCAAAGGTTTGGATTTCCCTGATTCCCAATGGTATTCAAATCTCTTTGCTGAGGATTTCGCTGAACTTGTCATGGCTGCTTCTCTTCAGATCTAAGTGGGGTTTCTGGAACTCAAGCAGCATCAACTCACCATTTTAGCCTTGTTTTGTTAAAGCTAAGAAACCAACTCCTCTTGGCCATACAGATCCTTTGCTGTCAACGGTGGCCGATGGGCCGATGGGGTTGAGGTCATCCGGCTCCTGCGGGCTGGCGCCGATCCCACGAGACAAAATCTGAGTTGTTTCGTGAACCTTAAGGCCCCTTACGCTGGGAGAATGAGGAGGATGTAGGGTGGACATGAGTGACCCATAGCGACCCTATGTTTATGATGATTGTCCCGAGAAGGATGAGAAAGCCGAGTATAAAAAGTAGAGGGACTGAGTAGTAAGTAGTGTTGGGGATTCATAGGTCGTCACTGGTTCTACGGAGTGCCTGACTAGCAGTGCTAGACTTCTCGAGGTTTCCAGGGAGATGCTTATACTTATAGTGTTGCTTGCAACACACCTCGCATCACACGTCACCAACAGCCTTAAAAGCTCATTCGGGAGAAGTGAATTGGGCTGAACTTAAGATCTTTGGATCCAAGTTCCATCAAGTTCCTATGGTATCATGATGTATCATGTGGTATTTGGGTTGTCACCTACCAGTCTCATGGGGGTTGCACAAGCAGCACTTCCCTGCAGGGTGAGGCAAAGCGGACCAAGATTGTCGGACGCCTCAGATGGGGGGCTGCGAGTTGGAGCGGGTTTCAGGATGTTTCAGGGAGAATCCACTGGAACCTTCTAATTGTCGTGGTTAAAAACAACAATGGTTTTTGATGGTTTTTGATGGTTTTTGATGGTTTTTGATGGTTTTTGCTTAAGATGGATTTGAAACCAATCCCATTGATGATATTGATGGTGACCTCCATGACGTTCCGAGGAAGTCGGTCCGGACCGATCTGGAAGTCACCGTGGTGCTTTGATGTCAGGCACACCGCTGCACTGGGCGCCTGGGACCTGTGTTTGGCCTGTGTTTGGCCTGTGTTTGGCCTGTGTTCATCCCAGGGAGGTCCTGTTTATGTGCATTATGTATATATATATAAATAATATATATATATTTAATGATCTCTCTCTCTCTATATATAAACATATATATATATATATGTTTACACACATATATATATACACACTATATCTACATCTATGTCTACATTTATGTCTATATCTATGTATTTATGTATTTGTGTATTTATGTATTTATGTATTTATAGGCACATACATAACAACGAAAATAGTTTGTATGCCCGAAATATGTATGATGCTATGTGATACATGCATGCATACATACATACATACATCGTACACGTATACGTGTACGCGTACGTAAGCATATACATATACGTATACAGACACAGATGCATATACATATATATATATAGATAACACATAATACATAATACATAATACACAATACACATACATGATACATTAAATCATATACATATTACATGTACATGTACATGTACATTATAGATATAGATATACATCATACATATATATATATATATTTCGATATCATGGAACTTTGTATGTTTGATGTTTGATGGGCTGCCCAAACAATTTTTTTCGCCTCAGCCCAGGTTTGCTGGGCGGCTAGCAGACTACAAGCTGCCAGCGGCCCCTTGTCTGCTGCCAGACAGCAGCACTACCTGGAAATTTCCAGATGGCTCTGTGACATCGCGCCCATGGCACTGTTCTTGAAAAACGACAACCAGCAAACACCCCTGGAGTTGCTGATGGCGAACACGCCCTCCCGCAGGGGAGCCCGGGGGAAGCTGTTGGCGTTGGATGATCTGAAGTACAGTACACACACACACAGAGCGGCGGATATGCATATACACATATATATATACACACATATATATATATATAGATGCACATGGAAGTCCAAGGACTCAAACAGTACGTCCTCATGAAAATTGGTAGAAAGTGGGCCAAAAAAGTACGTCCATGTATGATACATCATGATGCACCTTTTGAGGTCCCGGACCTCAAAGGAACATTGCTATACATTTCTATAACCTTTGATATTGCTATAATCCCTCGGCCGTAGACCCTTGGCAGTGCTATGGTTTCTCGGCGAGGACCCCCTTTGGTGTCACTTTTCCTACGGACTCATTTAGTACGGCCTTAGGACTTACATGGTAAAAAATTGTAAAAAATGTATATGTGTTTTTTTTTTCCTGTGTGTCCAAAGGGGTTTCAGTTTACCCTCTGGTAATTTAACATAGCTATTGAAAATGGCCATTCATAGTGGATTTTCCCATTAAAAATGGCGATAACAGAAACAAACACGTTGCAAAATCACACAGGTTTCCTGTGTGCAGGTGACGAACTGCGTTGCGGCCGCTGTGGTCAGACAGGTCATGTGGAGAAGGAATGTCTCAGAGAACCTGCGAAACCCAGTGACTTGGCCGAAAGCCCAAGGATTCGAATGGGACATCCATGGACATCCCATTAAATATGTATTATTAATGGGGTTCACGGTTAACCGGTTAACCATGGTTGACTCATGAAATCCCACGAGTTTCCGCATATCCCATGACAAATATATCTACATATATTGATTGATGAGTTTCCAATCCAAATTCCATAGATTAGCAGCTGATTAATTTCCATGAGTTTCTGAACGTAACTTTCATTTTCATATGTTGGCAATCCCAGATATTTTTTTAGTGGAAGGCGGTGGAAGAGACCATTGAAATAACAATATAGAGACTGGGCCGATCTTACCGGATGTTTTCGATCCCATTGCCTAATCAATTCATACACACACACACATACATACATACATTACATTACATTACATAAGATTACATAAGATTACATAAGATTACATACGTAGCATTACATTACATCACATTACATAACATCACATAACATTACGGAATATCACATAACATTACAACACATTACACAACATTACATAACATCACAGAACATTACACAACATTACATAACATTGGGTAACATTACATACCATTACATAACATTACATAACATTACATAAGATTACATAACATTGGGTAACATTACATAACATTACATAACATTGCATAACATTGCGTAACAATACATAGCATTACATAACATTACATACCATTACATAACATTACACAACATTCCATAAGATTAGATACGTACCATTACAAAATCTAACATTACCTAACATTACATAACACTACATAACATTGCGTAACATGACATAACATTACATAACATTACATAACATGACATAACATTGCGTAACATTACATAACATTACATAACGTTACCTAACATTACAAAACATTACACAACATTACATAAGATTACATAACATTACACAACATTACATAACATTACATAACATTACACAACATTACATAACATCACATAACATTCCACAACATTACATAACATTACATAACATCACACAACATTACATAACATTTCATAACATTACATAAGATTACACAACATTGTGTAACATTACATAACATTACATAACATTGCATAACATTGCGTAACATTACATAGCGTTACACAACATTACATCACATTACATAACATTACACAACATTACTCAAGATTAGATAGGTACCATTACATTATCTAACATTGCCTAACTATACATAACATTACATAACATGACATAACATTGTGTAACATTACATAACATTACATAACATTGCATAATATTACAAAACATTACACAACACTACGTAACATTACATAACATTACATAAGATTACATACGTAGCATTACATTATCTAACATTGCATAACATTACGGAACATCACAGAACATTACAACACATTACACAACATTACATAACATTACATAAGATGTTGTTGCACAGTCTTAGTCCATGTCTTACCTTTTTCACCTCTTACTATCGTGTGCATGGCTCAAGAAATAGTGTGTACTGCAGGGTAGCTTGTTTGTGGCCTATCACGGTTATTTGTCTGTTTCTACAGGTTATCAGCCGTATCGCCAAGCGATCGCTGGTTTCCTTTGTCTCACCTTTTTCCGTTCTCCTCTGACTTTCGCCATGTCTACACCCCCAGCGCTCCCTGCCCCGGGCGGGAACGCCTCGGCTGCACTGACTTTGACGGATGTCACGCAACCAGAGGAGGTGGTGATCCACTCAGGCGCGGCTACAACTGAAGGGGGTATGAGTTACCTGGACGAAGAGTTTGACCCATGCCGCCAAGATCCACGCAGGAACATGCCAGGTGTCTTGGACTCAAACATTGACATCAGTCAGCTCAATACCATCAACTTCAACAGTGTTGATCAGCGTACCGCCAATGTGGCAGTGGTACAGCAAGGTATTGATCCGAACCTGGCGAACCAACTCATGGTGAGGCAAACGTACGTCACTCTGAGGTCATGGAACGTCAACGGATGGAGCTTGTGAGTGAAGCTCGAGATCAACTTGCAAGCGTTGAACAACAAGCAGCCGAAGAAATTTCCAGGAGAAACCTTTTGTTGAACGAGCAAGCCGCCCAGGCGATGAGCGAGCAGAAATCTGCTCAACTGCAGGTCACAGCGCAGGATCATCGCATCAGGGAACTGAGTGCCGAACTGACTCATGTGGTCAACAGTGCAGGTGTCTTGACATCGTCTGCGGAGAAGACCAACGCCGATCTGCAGGCAGCACGTTCGGAACTCGCCGAGTACCGCACTCAGATTGATGCAATGAACCAACACGCTTTGAACATGCAGAAGCTGGCCGAATCTCAGAAGAAGGACTTCGAGACAGAGATTGAGAAGCTTCGGAAGGAGCAGAGAGAGCTTATCCGAAATCTAAAGTCTCAACCTCTGGAGGGAACTCCTGGACTCATGATTCATTATGGTCCCGGAAAACCCAGTTCACAATCTTCGAAGCCCAAAGGTCCTACAATTGAGGAGTTAGCTTCGGGAAGCAAGAAGCCTCAGCATTCATCCGATGCTGACGACGAACATTTACTGGCAGAACCTTCGAAGCCACCGGGACTTCCCGGCGGTGGACCTCCAGGAGATGACGATGGTGATGATGACCATGACGACAAGAGAGGTCGCAAGGACAAGAAAGACAAGAAGAAGGATCGCAAGGCTAGTCGTGGCCGATCGAGACGACGACGTCGGAGAGATCCTTCATCTTCACCTTCATCATCAACATCCCCTACGACGTCAAGTTCGGATTCTGAGAGTTCCTTTGCACGAAAGGTCAAAAGGGCCTTAGAGCGTTCTAGGACCACTGATAGTAAGGCCAAAGAGTCTGATAGGATCCTAGTTCCTAAGTTCCCTCAACCCGAAAATTATAGGAATTGGAGAATCCGAGTAAGGGATGCCATAATTGCTGCTTCTGCCAAACCCGACCTAGCTTTTCAGTGGGTGGAAGAAGTGTTCAGGACAGACCAGTCTGTCGATGCCTTGAAGGACTCAGGTAAATTTGTGACCCTGGACGCAAAGCTCATGTCTTCGCTCACCAACATCTGCGAAGGGGACTTTGCACGGCAACTTGACATCTTTAAAGAAGAACAAGCCAAGTCAGGGACACCAGCTAGGGGACGTCAAGCATAGCTCATGATTCACAAACACTTCAGTACAAGTAGGAAGCATGGTGCAGTGTACGACATTGAGGACCTCATGGCTGTTACCTTAGTCAATGATGATCTCAGAGGTTTCATCACCCGATGGGACGCTGTGATCGCTGGAATGACTTCCGAGCCTGACATGATGTGGAAGCAAGCCTACTTTCACAACGCCATCAAGAACTTCAAGCCTCTCTCTCATGATCTGGCTGTGTATGATCGCACACCGGAGGGGGAACCCAACCGCTCTTATGATTTTCTCATGAAAGCTGCGAGGGATTACCTAGAGAGGAGACGTCTTGAGAAGATGCGCCAGGCTACCAAGAAGTCCGTTTCAGGCAAAAGAGATGCTACGCCAGCACCCACGCGACCGCCATCTGCGGGAAAGCCCACTGGCATTTGCTACGACTTCCAGGCTGGCAAGTGTACCAGGGGAAAGGATTGCCGGTACAAACATGAAAAGGCAGACAAAGGAAAAGGCGGAGGTAAGAAAGGCAAATCTAGGTCCAAATCAAGGGGCAATGGTCGGTCTTTGTCTCCAGGATCTAGGAACCAAGTGTGTAAGTTTTGGAAGGCAGGTAAGTGTCAACGAGGTAATGACTGTGCTTTCCAACACCCACCAAAGCCTGCAGCTGCATCTACCAAAGATGACAAGCGTGGAAAGAGCCAGAAAAAGAAGAAGAAGAACAAGAAGAAGGGCGATCGCTCCAGATCGTCAAGTCGAGGTTCCAACTCCGCGAAGGGCTCACAGAGTCTCAAGGACAAAGGGGGAAAACCATCTTCCTCTGGCTCAGCTGCAGTTTGCCTGATGCGCGCTCTGATGATGGCCGCAGTCGTCAACCCTTCGACCAGCACTCATCGCGTGCCGGAAGGCATCGCCTCTCCGCATTGTTTCAACCAGCATTTTGCCATGCCAGTTACACCCAATCGCACTGTTTCATTTGGGGGCAACGATGAAATCTTCGAAGTTCCAATTGAGCAAAATTGTAATTTGCATCCGTGCCAAGCCAAACAACGAACTTTCAATCCAGTTCGCATCACCAAGGACGATCGTACTCGTAAAGATACGATCGAAGCCCGAGAAAGTGATGCAATACTTGCAGCACAGATGTTGCAATCAGCTGTCTTTCGAGAGTTGCATGGTAAATCTTGCAAATGCAACTTTGAATGTGACAGTGATATCGGCTGTCGCCACTGCATCCGTTCCGATTTGAACGCATTGCCAGGACACATGCCTTCTCAGCAGCGTAATGCATCCGCTGAAATTGCATGGATTGCTGACACCGGTAGTGCCCAGGACTTAGTTTGCAGCAAGATGATTCCCGATGACATCGTGTATCACTCTCATGAACCCCTTGAATTAATCACTGCAAATGGTTCTCAATCTGCTGACCAACAAGCTTCTGTTCATATTGATTGCATCGACAAAGAAGTTCATCCATATGTTCTTCCTGATACCCCGGCTGTAATATCGGTAGGGATGAGATGTATTCAAGACGGATGGGATTTTGTTTGGAAAAGCTTTAGTCGCCCATATTTCAAGAAGAAAGATGGAACTAAGATCAAACTTGAAGTCAAAGATTTTGTTCCTTATCTGCCATCCAGAGATGGCCAGGTACCCGCTGCGGTAGGGATTCCGTTTTCATGGAACTCCGCTGCCGGGAACGGCAAGCCCATCATCTCACCTATTCGAAGGTCTCGCATGTCAGCTGTTGGCACCGAGTCTGAGGACGAAGTCGAAGAGGTCGAAGAACCTTATGAGGCTTCCATCGCAGATGACGATGAAATCCCCGGACATGGTGACGATAGTCTCGAGGAGTTCTTCCCTGGTGAACTTGCGCCAGG